TCTCTCTCTCTCTCTCTCTCTCTCTCTCTCTCTCTCATTATATAATTAATTATTATATTTTTACTATAGATGTCATACAATAAATGATATTATTGTTGGTTTTAATTGACAAATTTAATGTAATTTATAACAAATACGTTATGTTTTGATCTCAACTAAACATTAATTTCGAAATTTTTATTAATTCTTATAATTTTCAAATAATAAATATTTAGTCACTGTTTTTGATTTACCGGTAATAATAATTTTTCTGTATTTCTATGCTTTTAATTGCCTTTTAAATCAATTGTTTGTTCATTGCATGTTTTAATAAGTGTTTAAACATTTAATTGTAACCATAATATAATCAATAAAAGAGTCAACAAATTGTTACAATTAATTAATTTTATTATTATTTTTGGTATAAATAAGATTTTTTACGTGTATATCACTCTAGATTAAAAGTAACCAGGGCAATTCTTAAATCCAATACATTATTTAGCGTACAAATATTTAGTTTATTTACACGTGATTTATGTGAAGCCCTTATCTCTGAAAAGTCATGCATTTGTTTACAAACAATACTTGTATTCAATGTTTGACTCAATTTTGGGTTAATTTTATCATTAATTTTGATTTGAATTAAAATTTTATTAATTAAATGAATGAATGATTAAATTGTGATAATAATGAGTGGTTTAATGAGCATGGTCAAAGTGAACAAGGATTTGGTGCAAGAGTTGAGAGAAGAGATCCAAAGACTTCGCAAAGAGTTGTCATAATAGTTGCAATTAAAGTGTGGATCCCTTAGTGAAGTGGGCGCTCTTAATGTGGCCATTGAGACAAAGTTGCGATGAAAAGGCTCGACCGCACCCGCGATGACGACACGGATACGGCTTGCGATCGACCGCCGGCGCGACCACTACTGACTGCGAGTGCACTTTCCGGATGTGAAGAGTGAGACAATCAACAAAATCATACTTCTTGGCGCAGCCCTCGTGCGGACACATATGGAGCGGCAAATCGAGCGGTGGCTCTGACGAGTGGTGCGCAGTCTGGATGTGTTGCTGCAGAGACTGATCCGATTGAAAGATCTTAAAACAGTGGGCGCGCGAACACGGATAGGGCTTCTGCGAGGCCGGGTGTGCGGCCGTCACGGGTTTATCCACGAAATGCTCGTTTCGGTATTGGTTACCCGACGCGCCCACTGCCCAGTCAATGGCGGCGCTGCCATCGATGGTTTGTCTATTGATCGACAATTTGGTTCTGTCTTGAGAATCGCTGACATCGTTTGAATCACTGGTCAGTTGTGTGTCGAGCGCTGGCCTATCACCGCCGCCATTAACTGCCGAAGAAATGTATGTAATTTATATATAAATGAATATTTTATTTACCAATGATTCGACTATAGTTATGGTCGCCGGCCATCCAATTGTCATCTGACGTAATCTTAGGCTTCAACGCGTGAACAATACCGTCGTGTGTCTGGAGACCACGTTTTGATGCAAATGATTTGTCGCATTTATGGCACCGATAAGCCGTCGCCTTCGCTGCCGACGGATCAGTTGTAGTGATGTTTTGTGATGTCTTCGCAATGGTGTGACCGATGTACCGATGAGTGGTCAACAGGGAGTACGAGTGAAACGCCTGACCACAATCACCGCACACGCAATTCGCCTGAAGTTTGTTGTGAACCAAACTCGTGTGCGTTTGGAAGTCGTTTCTTGTGGCGAATGTCTGCCGATATATGCGGCAGTGATTGGCGTCGGAATTGTCCTCTTGAGTGACATTTGTTATGTCTTGCGGCCACTCTTCAGTAGTTCTATCACTATCTGTGTCACCATTGAGTGTAGTATTCGAGTGCATTATTATTTCCGTGTCTTCGGTAGTGTCCGTGTCGTCGGTGGTGTCCGTCAGTGTAGTTGTGTTGTCCACTGATGTGTCCGCAAACATCGGTTCAATTGATTCGCTATTTTCTGATTTAATATACAAATTATGTTTTTAACAAATGTTATTATATTTAAATTGTCTTATATTTAATGTCTAAATTACCGTCGATTTGATTTATACCTCCGATGAATATGACATAGGATTCAATGGTATTGTCCATAGAATCGGTTTCAGAGATGGCCACTAATTGATCTCTCGTTTGTCCAGCAATAATAGCCGGTTGTATCAGTTGTGCGGATCCAGTGCTGCATAACTGTCCCATCGGTGGTGTCTTCGCATTGATTATCACTTGAGTTGTTTCATCACATGTTTTTGTCGAGTTTTCATTCACGCCTTTCATATGCAAAATAAATAACAATTAATTTAAGCCGTCGTTTAAATGTCTATTAGGGTAATCTGTAAACCAGTTGCCGGTGCCGTGGCTTGAGATGCGCTGTTTGTGTCCAATGACTTACGCGTGGGTTTGTTCAACGGCTGAGTTATTAACGAGTTTTGTAGCCATATATCAACCGTTTGATTGGCAGTGACCGCTGCAGTCCCGTAGTGGTGGACATTAGCCGTGGGAACCATTGGAGTGACTGCTTTTGTGGGCAGCGAATGAGTGACTGGTGTTGCGGCCGTATCTTCGCTGTCGCTGTCGTCCAGTATATCAATGATCTCTTGTTTGGCTTTTAACTGATTGTCCGCCGCTTGTGTCCCGTCGTCACCGATCGGTGGCAGGACTTCGAGGCCATTGTCTGCTAAATAAATGGCAGGAAAAATGTAATTAAAATATTAAATAGTAAACTGTAAACCAATACCTGATTTAGCGTTGATTTGATTGTTGTTAACATTTTGTGTGTTTTTCAATGAGTGATAATTTTTCTCAAATTTAATCAAATCGTGAAATATATCAATATTTTGATTACATTTACAATTGTTTATCAAAACAAATGAGTTTTCCCTAATTTTTTCCAAACAGTCCGACAATTGTCTCTCAAATGACAACTCTTTGCGAAGTCTTTGGTTGTCTTCGCGCAACTCATCCATCAAATCATTGATCAGTATTACAGACATTAAAACATATAATTAAATTTAATTACAATTAAAAATACGGCTGTATTTTAACGGTTAATCACATGTTTTGCCCAAAACAAGTGCTTTCTTATGAATACGTCAAAAACGTGTGGAAATGTAAACAACATTTAATACCCTCTTATATCACAACTCTATACTAATATACCATTGGTTTTGCAACTTATTTAGTTATAAACCCTAACGTTATTTATGAATATTTAATTATTTGGTTAATCTTGAAAACTTTTACTGTAATGTCATTAAATTTAAACATAATTTATTTAGAAAACAAATATAAATTTAATTCAAAATACAATTAATTGTAATATAAATTGAATATCAAATGATTAATTTGTAGAAAATATAAAAAGTTTTAAAGTAAGTTTTGAACATAATTTGTATTACAATTATCACAAAGTAATGGTATGAGAGAGAGAGAGAGAGAGAGAGAGAGAG